GAAGAAGAAGAAGAAGAAGAAGAAGAAGAAGAAGAAGAAGAAGAAGAGGTGTGTTAGCTGTTTTGACTTGTTTATCTGAGAAACGGTAGTTGCTAGCGTCGAGAAAGGAGGAGGGGAGTTGGGAGAAAGCGGCGGTGGGACACTCTTCCTGCTGGCTGCCCTTTGGAATGGACGGACTGGAGGAGGGTGCCTCGGCCTCTTCTTTCCACCAGGTCGTCCTCCACCGCTTCGTGAGACGGCAGAGATCCCTCTGCCTCTGTGGGACGAGCTGGGAGCCTTCCTCTGCCTCAGGGCAGGAGGGTTTGCCCTGCCTTCTGGTCTTGACCGGCCCTTTGCCTCTTGGTGCTGCTTCTAGACAAAGATATGGGAGGCCTGCTATATTTCGCCACTAGGACTCCTGGGCTAGGAATAGAATAGTTCCTGCCTCCCTGCTGGTCCTCGGGAGGATGCAGGCGGCGGGGGGGGGGGGTTTGGGGGGAGCAAATGTCGCTTGTGTTGGCCGTGGATGTCAGGCCAGCTGGGGGGGCCCCGTGCGTTGAGGCGTTTGGCCTTGTTTGTTCTTGGTCAAGTCTGCTTATCGGGAAGGCAAAAGAAGCGCGCGAGGGATGGAGATCAGGTGTCCCTTCCCCTCTCGAAACGGGACGGATCACCCGAGACACCGAAGGCCTCCATAACAGGACCGTTTTCAAGATGGGCCCCGGGGAAGGATGGATTTGCAGTGATGGGGGGGTGGGGGATGGGGGTCGCTCCGTGGCTTGCAGGCCCTAAGCAATACTTCTTTAGCTTTTTTCCCAGGTGGTCGGACAAAAAAAACAAGGCACTCGAGGCGGACGGGTTAGGAGACCCTGCCAAGTGTCGGACCAGCTGGGGCTTTGCTCCCTAGCAGCCATATTTGAGGGTGGGGAGGAGGAGACCCCCCCTCCCACATCACTTCCAGGTGCCTGGGCTAGCTCGCTTCACTGTGTTTCCCAAGTCTGCCTTTCGGTTTTTTGCTGTGTGGTTTCGGGAGGACAGGAGCGGTGTAGAAGGGGGACACCTCCGCCGCCGCGGTCGGTCTCAAGGGGAACCCCGCCCTTAAAAATCCTCCCCTCCTGGGAGAGAAGGAAAACACGGAGGGGGGGGGGGGGGGGGGGGTAACTCTCTCTCTCTCTCTCTGCGTGCAGGTGTGTGTGGGGGCGGGTGGGCGGGTCGGAGCGGTGTCTCTTTGTACATCAACACAGGAAGTGTGTCAAAATACCACAAAAGAAGTAACCGGTCAAAAGAGTAATAATAGAAATAAAAGTACCTGTGTACAAAAAAAGTGAAAAACCCGGCTGGCCCGTGAGTGTGTGTATATCTGTCCATCCCTGCCTCTCCCCGGTTTGCTTTTCTGACCCCCCCCCCATCTTAGGCCTCCTTTTGTTCTCCCCCATTCTTGAAACTGCCTCTCCCCTTCTAACCCCGGAACTGCCTCACTCCAGCTGCCTTCCCCAGCCATAGTGGCTAAGGTTCGAATCATTTGTACAGATTAACGGAAAGGGCGCTTGGAGGTCATCTAGTCCAACCCCGCCCAAGCAGGAGACCCTACACCATTTCTGACAAGTGACAATCTCTTCTAGAAAGCCTCTTTCCTACCTCCCTTAGGGTGTTAAAAAGACGAAAGGGCGAGGGAGCAATTATTAATTTTCCCACAGGAGCAGACGGGCAAGCCGCGGCTCCTCCTCCCCCCCCCCCCCCCCAGCTCGCCGGCTTTTAACCGCTGACTCGGGACTTGGGTTTTTTTCGGATCCCGGCCGAGGGGGATGGGGTCGTCAAAGACACACACACACACCATGAGCTAATTGGAGCCGGTCCCGGGGCGGGGTGGTTGCTGTGGCCGGGAAGCGGCGCCCTTCGTGGGGAGAGTCCGGGTGGGGTGGGGTAGGGGGTCCGCTTCGCGTTGGAGGAGGAGAGAAGGGATCGGCGCTCAAAGTCCCCCGAGGCGCGCTGGGGAACTTCTCTGCCAAGCCGAGTTTCCCACGTGCGGCCGAAAGATTTTCACCAGGGGGTCCCCAAACTTGGCAACCTTTAAGACTTGTGGACTTCAACTCCCAGAATTCCTTAGCCAAGCATAGGAGCGGCTGCCAGCAAGAGTGGAATTGTGGGAATTGAAGTCCACAAGTCTTAAAGGTTGCCAAGTTTGGAGACCTCTGATTTGCAACGCTGTGTTTGAAATAAACGCGCCAAACTTTTTCAACGTTCCCCTCCTCCTTCTCATTCCCTGGGGCGAAGGGAGGTTTGGGAGGGGCGGCGAGGGGGCCAGCCAGGGCAGAGCCGCCTCAGAATTTCCCGCCCCCCGAGCGTCGCTGCAATCCGCGTGGCCCCCGGGAGCGGCTCCTCCGCCGACCCGCCAGGGGGCGACAGAGCCGCTTTATGAAGACATAAAGGGCGGCGTAGGTGGGGCGAGGGAGTGACGGCAGGCGCGCTCCTCGCGGAGAGAAGACTCCTGCGCATGCCCGGAAGAGCCCAGCGTTCCGGTGGAGGGGGGGGTAAGATGGCGGAAGCCGAAGACTACGAGTCCGTCTTGTGCGTCAAGCCGGAGGTCCACGTCTACCGGGTGCCCCCGCGCGCCTCCAACCGCGGCTACCGGTGAGTCTCCCCCCCGCCCCCCGGCGGTTAAGGGTCGTGGGCGGTGCGGGATTCCCAGACCCATCATCCCCTGGCTGGGCTGACCGGCTTCCCGGTGCCTCGGAAGAAAACCCTGCTGCTGCTGCTGCTGCTGGGCATGCGCAGAGAGATCTCCTGCACCCGTTCTCCCCCCCCGCCAAACTTTCCCGGCAAAGCGGATAACGGGGAGCCGGTCGTGGGGAGACTCCCCAGGGCGAGAGGCGGCGCTGGAGGGCCGGGCTAACTTGGCTTTTCCTCCCGCCGCTAGTGCCGCGGAGTGGCAGCTGGACCAGCCGGCCTGGAGCGGCCGAATGCGCATCACAGCCCGGGGCAGCGTGGCCTTCATTAAGCTGGAGGACAAGAACTCGGGTAAGGGGCCGCCCGGGGGTGGGGCTGAGGGGGGTCTCCCGGGAGGGCATGGCCCAAGGGCCTCGGGATACCGGTGGGCAGGCAACAGCGGACCGGCTGCCCACCTGGCCCTCCTCCCCTCCCCGCCAGGAGAGCTTTTCGCCCAGGCTTCCGTGGACCAGTTTCCTGGCATCGCCGTGGAGGGCGTGACGGACTCGAGCCGGTACTTTGTCATCCGGGTCGAAGATGGGAATGGTACGACTGGTGAGATGCTTTGGATCCCGCCCTCTATGGGGGGTGGGAGGGGAGATCCAGTCTTTGGAGAGGGAGGGGCAAAGTAGGTTGCAATTTTACCGGGAAAGCCTTGTCTGTGGCATCCGACCCCTGTCCTTGGTGCTGATGGTGGAGGCTTTCCCCGGTGCTAGGTAAAAAACGGCAGAAATCATTCTAAGTGAACCTCGTGAAACGCTCTTCACTCTCTGTTTCCTTCCTTAAGTGGCGTGCAAGGCTGTGGGCAGCCCTCCCTTGGGCCATCCGCTTCCCCCTTCTCTATTTATCGGGCTGCTTCCCAACCTGGGCTCTTCTGCGAATATCCTTGGTTCTCTAAGCTTCCGCTCGGCTCTCCTCTCTCAATGCCTCTTCCTTGTTCGATTCGCCGAATCTTCTTTGCTATCCACGGTAACTCTCTGTTAACCAGCTCCACGGGCACCTGCATGGGTGGCTACGGCCCATCCTAGCAGGCAGGCACCACGAGAAGGTTGAACTCTCGGCAGCCCTCCTTAGTGGGCCTGTGGCTTCTCACCAGGTCACCAGCCTGGGCGGAGAGGGTCCTTTGGGCGGTTCGGCTGCAATCGAGCTGTGTGTGCGAATGCTTTGGTACGACTCTGCCTTCCTGAGGTCTTTCTTCCAGGCTTCCCAGTGGGCTAACCTTACAGCCAGTGACTTCCGCCGCCATCCTGAGCCTAGTTTTCCTTACAGGGCGCCGTGCATTCATCGGAATTGGCTTTGTTGACCGCGGTGATGCTTTTGACTTCAATGTGGCGCTGCAAGATCATTTCAAGTGAGCAGCCTTTCCTTGGTGCCAGGACTCTGCTGGAGGCTCTTCTCCCAGGAAGGGAAATTCAGCAGAGTGGTCTCCCATGACCAGTCACAGTTGATCCTTCTTGACCTGCACTCGCCACTCAAAACCTGGCAAAAAACCTGGCGTTTGGGAACAACACTGACAACCTTTGTTTATATCCTGTTTTGCATTTATTCGCTGCCCATCTCGCTGTCATGCAACTTCGGGAGATTTAAAATTTGATAAAACAATATAAATGGCCCAACACAATAAGACAGGGGTGGGCAACTATGGCCATTTTATGAATTATGGACTTCAACTCCCAGAATTCCTGAGCAAGCCATGCTAGCTCAGGAATTTTGGGAGTTGAAGTCCACAAGTCATAAAGAGGCCATAGTTGCCCACCTCTGCAATAAGACAATAAATATATTAAAAAAATAAAGAGAAAATAGTTAAGGTAGCGGGGGTGTATACAATAGAGCGGAGGAGGTATCTTTTAATGCAATAATCACCTCCAAGACAGCACAAGCCCCCTCATTGGCGAATCTGGAACCTTGGTAGAATGGCTCCACTTTAACAGCCTTCCTTGACCTTGTTTGGGAGAGCGCCCTCAGAATCAGCAGGGGAAGGCTTGTTCTAGAGCAGGGCCTTCAAACTCACGGCCTGCTGGCCAGATGTGACACCTGCTGGCTCCGCCCCTGCCCAGTTTAGCAAAGGAGGGAAGAAAAGTCTTGATACGTCACGTGATGCTGCCATGACGCCCCTGTTGTAGAGGGAGGAAACTATAGAAAACATTCCAGTTCTCCTCCTCTCCTCCAGGTGTTTCAGAAACCTCTCAGGAGCCATACCTGGGCCAAACAAGGGAACGAGATCCAAAGCAGCGGGTGGGGGACCACAGATTCCATCCCTGCTTGTTTTTCACCCCTTGTTTCCTGCTCTGGAGGGAGATAACAGATTTGGGAGGTCACCTTTGCTACGTGGATTTTTTTTTTTTTTTTCCCAGGAATAGAAATGCCTGTCTTAAGTAACTGGCCTCTCCCTTACCAATTCAGCCTGCATCTTTTCTTGCTCTCCACCGCTTTTCTTTTTCTCTCTCTCTCTCTTTCTCTGCAGGTGGGTCAAACAACAGAATGAGTTGGCCAAAGAAGCCCAAAACCCAACCCCGGTGCCCAAACTTGACCTGGGCTTCAAGGAAGGGCAGACCATCAAGCTCAGCATTGCGGTGAGAAAGGCCTTGGGGTTTATTTGTTTTTGTCCAGGGTTGTGGAAGCAAGACAGATGCATTCAACTCCAGTTATAAGGCTCGGCAGTGCAGTGGCCCCTCTGTCAGCTCGGTGGGTGATTCCTGCCCTGTTTGAGTCCTGGGAAGGGAAGCGGAACCTGAAGTCCGACGTTTGGGGAAGAAGTGAGGGCGAATCCCTCCTCCTCCTTGGGCTCTGTCCTCAAGTGGGAGGCTTCCAAGGGTGCCTTTTTGGTCTTCCCACAGAACATGAAAAAAAAGGATGGCTCCTCGGGAAGTAGGCCACGAACTTCTGACTCCACAGGACTCCCCCTTCTTCCCCCGCCTCCAGGGGGAAAGATCCCCTTCCTCCCCACGCCTGGAGAGCAGCTTCTCTTGCCTCTTCCGGGACCCTCAGCAGACACCACCCAAACAGGTCTGTGTGGCTCCTCAAAGGGTGGTGGTGGGTGGATTCACTTGGGTACCAAAGTAGAAAAGGGAGCTCCTGCTTTGAGACTTCCTGAGCTGTCTGGTGGTAGGTGGGATCACCTGGGGCCTTTTACACCCACCTCAAGGACCCACAGGCCCCATTCTCTCCCTCCCCCACTCCGTCATCTAGCCACCCCTTAGCAGATGCATCCGTTGTGCAAAGGTCTTTTTAAGGAAACGGATGCATACTAAGTAATAGGACTTCTCTTTGCCAGCTCAGACAAAAGCCCTTCCTTGGAGGAACATCTGGAAAAAGGAAAGACAAAGCTAAACTCTTTTTTTCTCCCTGCACTTTGTTGGCCAGCAGATGTTGCCGGGTCTCGGACCTCACAGCCGCCAAGTTCTTCAAGAGAAGTTTCTGCAGACATCTGGGGGGATTTCACCCAAGCTTCTGGGTAAGGAGATGCCCCTTTTGTCATGTTTTGGGAGGTAAAGTCCTGCTCCCTCGCGTTCTCCAGCACGTTTTCTTTCTCCCAAAAGGACAGGAGCAGTGGAACTATTGTGTCCATACAGTGGGGAATTGTCCTGAAGTCCTGCACCATGACAAATTTAGCGTTTGCTGTCCCTTTTTTTATAATATAGCCTAGACCTTATCAAAGAATGTGCCAGCCCCACTATTTACGTAAGACCACAAAATCAACTTCCCAGGAAGGATAAAGCCACTTTTAGTGAGATTGGATATAAATTCTGATTGTATAACTTCTCCTTCATGCTTCAGTGAATCAGGGAAGGTCTACCTGCACAGCTTTCAAACGTTATCTGGACTCTCTGAACTTAAAAGTTTTGGCCCATTTTTGCCTAGGCCAGAGTTTTTATATCTCTTCGCCATCTCCTATCCTCTGAACCAGCATTTCCCAACCAAAGGCAAGACCTGATGGACTTTGGCTCCCAGAATTGCCCCGGCTGCTTGTCTATGGAATTCTGGGACTTGTAGTCAACCTATGTTAAAATTGTTTATGTTGGGAAACAGTGTTTTAAACCGTAGGACAATCTCAGTAGCTTGAGCAAGAGCTACATTAGTCTTTTTGAATCAGTAAAATTTATAATTCATCAATCAAGTATGGTATTTTAAATAGTATTTTTCTACTGAACGATAATTGTAAATAGTGGGTGAATTTTTCCATTAAAAAATAGAATTAAGTGCAGATCAAAGAGATATGCTGCATAGTTGACTTTGGAATTTTATCTCCTTTTATGACCAGCGGCAAGTCAAGGTTGTTTGCCTGCTGTTAATTTTCACAGTAGCTGTAATTTAATTAATCAGTGAATTGTTTAAGAGATCAGCTGCTCCATTTGTTAGAGCAGGGGTCCGCAACCCCACGGGCTGTGGCCTACTACTGGGCCATAGCCCCTTCCAAACTGGGCCCCCGCAAGTGGGGAGCATGCATGGACACAGCTCCGTTTGTGTGCCTGCTGTTTTTCACAAATGGAGTTGCACACACTCATGCACACGCACCTGCCATTCACACAGAAGTCCATCAAGCCGGAAAAGTTTTGGGACTGTGGTGTTAGAGCGCAAGTTTTCAGATTCCGCTAAAGGGCTGCCACAGGGTGCTAAGTATCATTTCGGGTGACTTCTGCTTTCATCCCTTGGAAATTCTTGCTGGAGTCCTCAAGAGGTGTCTCCAGCACAGAGGCTGGCTAACTGGTTCAAATTCCTGGAGGTTGTAAGTGCCACTTGTTGATCGCAGAACATCCAAGTTTCTGCCCAAACCATGGACCCCCAAGGTGCGGCTTCTGGTTCCAGCAAGTGCCGGGGAATATCTCTAGTTCAAGGGCTGTGTTTGTCTTTGTCTTCTCGTAGGTCCGGCTCTCAGCCTCAGCAGAACTCGGGTTGGGTCCAGTTCTGAAGCAGAAGGGAAGGCCCAAAGGCCAAGGAGAGGAACTCCTTTCGGAGGCCAGAGACCGGGAGATGGGCCGTGCCTCGCTGGCTCTCCCAACAGATCCTCTGCCTGGATGGGTTTGACTTTGGCTTTGGACCTTGTGGCAAAGCAGAGGAGGGGGCTCCCTGCAAATCGTCTGGCTCTCTCTTCCACCGGCACCTGGGACTTGTGTGTGTGTGTGTTTGTGTGTGTGTAGGGGGCTGCAGTGGCTCAAATGCCAGCCTGTTGCTTACGAAGCGGAGATCTTCTCGCCTGCTCTTCTGTCTCTCTTCCTTCCCAAGAGGAGCAATGTACTTTGGAGGGCGGGGAGGGAATGGTCGTGCCAGGACAACCAACAATGTTGGGTTAGGGTCAGAGCCCAAAGGGTTGGGAAGTAGCCTTTGGAGGGACTCTGCCCCGCGGGGGCTTGGGCGCGTCGTTTTCTCTTTCCGGGACTCCACGCGCGGTGGTGGCGGCGGCGTCTTCTTCTCCTGCACTCCGTGTCCCGAATAAAAACCTTTCTTGCCAGCCAGCCTCGCGCTTCCTTGTTTTGACAGCTGGAGGAAGGTGGCGACGGCGTTGCAAGTGGGCGGGACTGACCTCAGGCGGCCACCGTAGCCAGGCGGAGGGGAGGGAGGGCGGGAAACGCTCTCGCGCGCCTCTTCAGCACGGGCCCCGCCTCCTCGCCCGGTGCCATAGCAACCGCCGGTGTGTGTGTGTAGCCGGCGGGGGCGGGAGGGGGGGAAGCCCTTCAGATTGCGGCCCTCGCGCCCTTTCCTCGCCGGGCGCCCTCCGGCTCCGAGGCAGCCGCGTCGGCGGTCTGGTCCGGGGCTAGGAGGACGGGGCGCAGCGCCTTGAGAAAGGCCTCTGCGGCAAGCCCCCCTGCTCGACTTCGGCGGCGACCCTTCGGCGGGAGGGAGCCCCTCGCGCAAGGGATGATGGGAGTTGTAGTCTAAATAAGAGGAGGGGGTTTGGTCCGTTGTGCAGCCCGGGCTGAGTTGGGCCGCCCGTTTCTCCCCCCCCGCCCCCGCCCGCAGCCTCCGCCGCCGCTTCTTCTTCTTTCGCGGGGCGAAGAGATGTCGTCCCTTCTGTCCGTGCAGGAGGAGAACCGGCTCCTGCAGCAGGAACTGTCCCGCGTGGAGGACCTGCTGGCCCAGAGCCGAGCCGAGCGCGATGAGCTGGCCATCAAGTACAACGCTCTCAGCGAGAGGGTACGGGGGGGGGGGGGGG